ACCCTGGCCCAGAGTGTTGCACTTCCCCAGGCTCTACACCTGGTACTGCTCCTGCTCCCCGGGGACCCAGCCAAGCCCCTGTCCCTGCTGGCCCCGGCTCACCATCGCTCAGAATCAGCTCGACTGGCACACTGTCCCCGGACCAGGCGTTTTCGTTGTCATGCAGCCGGTAGCGGCAGGTGTAGTGACCTCCATCCCCCAGGGCCACCGCGTTGAGGTGAAAGAAGATGCGGTCTGGGCTGGTGCTGCTCCCGGGTACCAGCAGCTCTTTCTCCCCGCGCCACAGCTGGAAGTGCACTCCACTCAGGGGAGCCACGCAGGCGAGGGTCACCTTGTTACCAGGGCGCAGGACCTGGGCGGACTCTCCACGGTGCATCAGCACAGGCGGTGGTGGTGCAGCTGCAATGCAGGCAGCATTACTGGGCTGCCCCATCCCTGGAGCTGCCCTCTGCCCAGTCCCCAGACCTCTGCCCTCCAGGTGGCAGCCCCAGGAACACCCTTCCATTCTTTTTTTTTTGAGATGGAGTCTCACTCTGTTGTCCAGGCTGGAGTGCAGTGATGAGATCTCTGCTCACTGCAACTTCCGCCTCCTGGGTTCAATGGATTCTCTTGCCTCAGCCTCCCAAATAGCTGGGACTACAGGCACCTGCCACCACACCTGGCTAATTTTTCTATTTTTAGTAGAGACAGGGTTTCACCATGTTGGCCAGGCTGGTCTCAATCTCTTGACCTTGTGATCCACCGGCCTCAGCCTCCCAAAGAGCTGGGATTATAGGCATAAGCCACGGTACCCGGCCCACCCTTCCCTTCTTCGGGCATCCTCTGCCCAAACTCCTTCGCAACCATCAGACCCAGGCAACTGTGTGGCCAGCTTCCTGGACCTGGTCCTGGGCAGGGGCATTCAGCATGGAGGTCAGGGTCAGTGTAGTCATGCCCCCTGTAACCCCCTCCCCAGCATCTCCCAGAGATGATTCCCACAGTCACCGAGCTCCTCAATGATCACGGTAGCGCTGGGCTCAGAGAGGGCGCCTGCCACATGGGTCCGGTAGCTGCAGCTATAGTTGCCAGCCCGGTGGACAGGAAAGGCGGCCTCCACACCCTCCTGGGCCTCAGGCATCTCCAGAAACTCATGGTCGCCTTCCCGCTTCAGCAGAAAAGTCACACCCCGAAGCCCGCCTCGGCACACTGCTGTTGTGTTCAGGCCGGGTGTGATCCAGGACACAGGCGTCATTGAGAGCCAGGGAGGAGGCAAGGACTCTGTGGGTGGGGTGGAGTTGAAGAGTGGTTCTGTATAACACGGGAGACAGGGGAAGCCCAGCAGAACCTGGGCCCCATCCTCAAAAAATGTGAGGGAGACAGGGATGGAGGGCATTGCTGGGAAAAGGCAGCCAGGCACTGGTGGAAACAAGGCGTACAGCAAGAGAAAGGAGTGCGTGGGAGCTGTATGGCATGCCGGGCCTGCTGGGGACACAACCATTTATTCCTCACAACACTCTGGGGTTAGCACAGATATCACCCCATTCGACAGATGGGAAGATTGAGGCTCAGAGACATCAGATGACTTGGAGGACGGGAGGCCCCCCTGTCAGCCACCAACTCACTGCCTCCTGGCCCCCAATTCATGCCCCAGCTTACTTGGCCCCGTCAGCTCCAGGAGCTTGCTCAGCTGGGTCCATCTTGTGAACAACCCTGAGCGGCAGCGGTAGCGGCCCTGGGTGTCACCCGTCAGCAGGAACTGGTGCTTGATGGCAGGTGAGTCAAGGTGCACGGGCTCCTGGGCCACCCCATTCTTGAACAGCTGGAAGTCTGGGGTCCCCAGGCGGGCCTGGCACGTCAGCATCACATTGGCTGAGGGTTTCAGCAGCGATTCGGACTCTGCCCACAGGCTGGGCTGGGTCTCATAAACTGCAAGGGGTGGCTGGGATCAGCTCAGGGCCACAGGGACAGGGCTCACCCACGGCCTGGGCCCACCATTCCCAGACCTCAGCCCTGCACTCACATGTGGCTGCTTCTGTCACTGGGCCCATCGGGAGACCTGCGGAGACAGCCCCTGTGAGTCTCCCGTTCCAGCCCCTTCCCGCCCCAGGGACCCAGACCCCGGGAGGCCTCACCCCAGAACAAGAGAAAGGCCACCAGCATGGACATGATGGTCGTGCTCACGCCGGTTCAGTGAGTGTCTGGGGTGAGCGTCTGAAGCAATGAGGCCCCAAGGGAGGGTGGCAGGGGCAGCTCGGACACTGACCTCTTCCCGTGTTTGTCCTTCCCGGAAGGCGAGGGCAGGGCCCCCATGGGATGAGGGCAAAGGGCTAACTTCTGAGGCCTCAGGATGCTCAGCAACAATTATGATCAATAATCATGGATAATTAATAAACTAAATCAACAACGAGTCATAAAATGATGCTAACATCACTTCATCCTCATTTCAGTGCTGGATCCTGTCCTAGAATGGGACCCTGAGCTCTCCCCACTCTGCCTGGAGCTGCTGAGGTCAAGTGGACAGTGCCAGGGCTGAAGCCCAGTAAGCCCCTCCCTGTCACACCAAACCGCACGTGTATTTGGGGATTAGCCCCAGCTCAGGGCCAGGCTCTCCGAATTCTTGAGAAATCTGAACATTTCCTGCCACACCCCCACCCCAGGGAAACGGCAGCAACCCTTTGAGGAAGATACACTGTCTATTCTTGCCGCAGGACTGGTTCTTCCTTAAAAAAGATTGTTTTCCCTGCAACTGAGGGGCCATGTGTCTGGGGACTGACCTGGGTCTGTAAACTTGGTATCACGTGTGAATCTTGCAGTTGCCTCGTAAATGGAACCCCATTCTCTCCAGCCACCCCTTATCCCCCCAGAGTTCTAACTAGTCTGGCACGCTGCAAATGGACAAGTGTGAAATACACTCCCAAGAGATACTACTATGCTTCAAAATAACTGCAAGGTTTTCATTCATGTAATTGGCATAAACCTGGGGAACAAGGATGGCGACGGTATCTAGGGGTAATTGATCAAGGAGGATGGGACACAACAGTAGACTGGATCAAGTCTGTCTACAGGAGATGACTTACAAAGATTCAATTTAAGATGTAAGCTTGTGCAGCTTGAAAGATACTGAGTTTGTCTGACAGCTTGACTAAGACCCGGACTCAATGGTGGCCCAAATTCAATGAGGTTAAATTGCTAGAACTCCCTTGGTACAGGGAGAGTAGGAATTTTGGAGAAAGGAATCCAAAAGCTTAGGGATACAGGAAACGTTGAAGTGGGTTTAATGTATACATTCAGCATGTGCCAGATCACGTACACACACAGAGTACCAAGGAGGATATCTTTGTTACAAAAGCACTGGGAAATACATTAGTCAGTGGGGCACCCATATCACTGAAACTTGCTGCAGTGGCAGTCCTCTGAAGGGCAGTATGGCCCTTGGAGTTGCTGCCATTGAAACGGCCTCTCTGATTTTGGTGATGAAAGATGGACGTGACAGAGCTCAAATAACAGGGCCTACCTGCCAGAGATGAGACTTGGATTCATCATGATTGGCAGCAGGAACAAGGAGGTGATCAGAATGTTTTAACCCTCAGGGAAGGAAGGATTGCTTCTACTAGGGAGAAAGGCTCAGGATTACTTGGAAGGTTGAAGATTCTTTTTTTTTTTTTTTTTTTTTTTTTTTTTTTTTTTTTTGAGACGAAGTCTCGCTCTGTTGCCCAGGCTGGAGTACAGTGGCGCAGTCTCAGCTCACTGCAACCTCTGCCTTCTGGGTTCAAGCTATTCTCCTGCCTCAGCCTCCCGAGTAGCTGGGACTACAGGTGTGCAACACCACGCCCGGCTAATTTTTTGCATTTTTAGTAGAGACGGCGTTTCACTGTGTTAGCCAGGATGGTCTCGATCTCCTGACCTTGTGATCCGCCTGCCTCGGCCTCCCAAAGTGCTGGGATTACAGGTGTGAGCCACCGCACCTGGCTGAGATTCCCTTTCAACAACTATTGATTTGGCAAATGCTTTTTTCCCATCAATATGCAAGGACGACCAAAACTATCTTCTTTCTGCTTGGCAAGGACAAAAGTACACCTTCACAGCTTGCCTCAGGACTAAATCTGCAACTTTTTTTTTCTCAACTCCCCAACCTTGTTATGCAGCCCCTCCCTTCCCCTCCCTTCTCTTTTCTTTTCTTTTCTTTTTTCTCTTCTTTTCTTTTCTGATGGAGTCTCACTCTGTCACCCAGGCTGGAGTGCAGTGGTGCAATCTCGGCTCACTGTAACTTCTGCCTCATGTATTCAAGTGATTCTCCTAACTCAGCCTCCCAAGTAGCTGGGATTATAGGCATGCACCACCAGACTCAGCTAATTTTTGTATTTTTTAGTAGAAACAGGGTTTCACCACGTTGGCCAGGCTGGTCTCGAACTCCTGACCTCAGGTGGTCCACCTGCCTCGGCCTCCCAAAGTGCTGGGATTACAGGCGTGAGCCACTGTACCTAGACACAATTTTCTCATTCTGTCATAATCCCTGCGTAGCTCTTGATCATTCTGACTTCCCACAGAGTATCATGCCCATCCACTATATGGATGACATCAGCTGCTTGGATCACAAAGTGGCAGGTACCTTAGGCAACCAAGTTAAATGCATGCTAAGGGTCCCCCTTCTGGTAAAGTGCCTAGTGGTCTGCAGCCCGTTGGGACAGCCCCTTCTAAGAAGACCAGTTATTGCAATATGCACTATCTACCACTAGGAAAAGGGAACAATGGTTGGTGGGCTTCTGGATTTTGGATACAATGTATACACTCAAGTGTGCTTATCCAGTCCACGTATCATCTACAATTTTTTGTGGAGCTCAGAACGAGAGAAGTCCATATGGCAGGTCCCGGATACAAGGCAAGCTGCCACCTGGGCCCTAGGACCCAGAAGATTCAACATGGCTACTGGATCTGGTGCAACCCAGAGTTTGTGGCACATAAGAATACTGAACTGAAGCCAGGCGTGGTGGCTCACACCTGTAATTCTAGCACTGTGGGAGGCCAAGGCAGGAGGAGTGCTTGAGACCAGGAGTTCAAGACCAACCTGGCAAACACAGCCAGACCCCATCTCAAAAAAAAAAGAAAAAAAAAGAGAGAGAGAGAAAATACTGTCTCTCCTGCACCCCCTCAAAGTTCCAGCAACTACCGTGGTTCAGCCTTTAGAGACCCAAGCCCCCCTTCTCAGCTCCTAGGATCTGGTAAAGCCACCTGTCTGCATTGTACCCCCAGCTCGAGGTGGGCCACATCACAGACTCGAATCGCTGCACAGGTCCACGTGCAAGGGACTTTTTGCTCCCCAGTAGAGAAGAACCGGGTGGCACCAACCGGAGGCCTGTGGATGTGATGCTGCATCCACAAGAAGCCAGCAGTGTGTCAAGCGGGACAGAGTTATCCTTTAAAATGAATCCCAGCCACCACGGTGGAGAGAACCGAGGCAGGACGGAGAAGTGGACAGAATTCCGCTCCTCTCCCCCGCCCTAGGCCTCCTGCTACCCTCAGGGTCCCCAGAGCCAGGCCTCTAAACCTCCTAGCCCTTGGCTGGAGACAGAAAACCCGCGTACAACTTCCGTTCTCGCTGGGGTGGAAGGAGGGAGGAGAGGGGACTCACACCCTGCCCTTGTTCCCCGCCGGAGCAATTTCACACGGTTCTCAGAGGAGACCACCACACCTGTCGGAGACCCCAGTTCTTGCCCACTTCTGCATGGATGAACCTCTCGCCGAAGTGGAGCTTACTACCTTCCCTGAGGTCAAGAGCCCATCCCACATGTCCCAGCCAGGTCTGGGTGGCCGGTGGGACTATTGTCAAAGGGACTGTGCAGCCAGGGTTCCCTACGCCCAATGCCACCCCTGCACTCCCAGCAGGAGGGCGCCCGCACTGGTGGCCCGAAAAAGGCTGGGCCAGCAGACAGTGCACTCACGCCCGGGACCCCGCAGTGCCGCGTGTCCGCGACCTCCCGCTCAGGCGCGTCCTCGGGTCAGGGCGCAGTGCGGCCCCCGTGCCGCTTCTGGTGCTCGTTGAGGTTGGAGCGGTGGCTGAAGGGCTTCCCGCACTCGCCGCAAGCGTAGGGCCTCTCGCCCGTGTGCGTACGCCGGTGGCTTACGAGCTCCGACTTGCGCACGAAGGCCTTGCTGCAGTGGGCGCAGACGAACGGCCTCTCGCCAGAGTGCAGGCGCTGGTGCTGGCGCAGCTCGGAGCTGCCGCGGAAGGCCTTGCCACATTCTGCGCAGGCGAAGGGCCGCTCGCCCGTGTGCGTGAGCCGGTGGTGCGCCAGGCCCGAGCTGCCGCGGAAGGCCCTACCGCAGTCGGCGCAGGCGAAGGGCTTGGCGCCCGAGTGCGTGCGCTGGTGGCTGAGCAGGTTGGAGCGCTGGCTGAAGGCCTTTCCGCACTGGGCGCACGCGTGGGGCTTCTCGCCCGTGTGCACGCGCCGGTGCTCCGCCAGGTAGGAGCCCATGACGAAAGCCTGGCCGCACTCGGCGCACTCGAAGGGCCGCTCGTCCGTGTGCGTGCGCTGGTGCTGCAGGAGCTGAGAGCTCTCGCGGAAAACCTTTCCGCACTCGGCGCAGGGGAAGGGCTTCTCGCTGCTGTGCGTGCGCCGGTGCTGCCGCAGCCCCGCCACGCGCACGAATGCCTTGCCGCAGTCGGGACAAGCGTGTGGCCGCGCGCCCGCGTGGATCTTCAGGTGCTCAGCCAGGTTGGAGCTCTGGCTGAAGGCCTTGCCGCAGTCCGGGCAGGCGTGTGGCCGCGCGCCCGCGTGGATCTTCAGGTGCTCAGCCAGGTTGGAGCTCTGGCTGAAGGCCTTGCCGCAGTCCGGGCAGGCGTGTGGCCGCGCGCCCGTGTGCACGCGCTGGTGCTCCAGGAAATTGGAGTTCCAGCTGAAGGCCTTGCCGCAGTGCGGGCACTCGTAGGGCTTCTCGCCCGTGTGCGTGCGTCGGTGCTGCACCAGCGTGGTGCTTCGACCGAAGGACTTGCCGCAGTCCGGGCAGCGGAAGGGCTTCAGGCCGCTGTGCGTCTCCTGGTGGTGGATGAGCTGCGAGCGAGCGCGGAAGGCCTTGCCGCACTCCCCGCAAGCGTAGGGCTTCTCGCCGCTGTGGATGCGTTGATGCTGGCTGAGGTTGGAGCTCCAGGCGAAGGCCTTGCCGCACTCGGGGCACGTGTACGGTTTCTCGCCTGTGTGCACGCGCCGGTGCTGCAGCAAGTAGGAGCTCTGGCTGAACGCCTTGCCGCACTCCCCGCACCGGCAGTCCGGCTCCTCTGGGAGAGGCGAAGGGCGCAACGTCCAGTCTACATACTCCCGGGGCCCAGCCCCGTCCCGCCCACCATCTGCGGGGCCCAGCTCCCTGTCGGGGCCCCCCTGTTCGTCCGCCGCCCCCAGTGTGGCTTGCTGCCGCTCGCCGTCCCCTGCCTCCCCTGGGACCTCCGTGGAGTCTTCCCAGGACCCCCAGCCTCCAGACACAGCCCCCTCAGAGGGGCGCCTCGTGGCAGTCTTCACACTGCAGAGGCCCTGGCCTTCCTTTGGGGCCATCTGCAGGTTCCTCCCTCCTGGGGACTCCATCTCGCGCCTGTGACCTAAAACAGGAGAGAAAAGGTAAGTGCCTTAGAGAATACAAAGAACACCAGACAGAGGGCCTTTGGGAGACATGACGGTGGGTGGGCTGTCATCCCCACTCTTCTCCTCCACGGCCCTGGATGCCCAGTGCCCTCTGGAGCCTGGAGCAGGAAGTTCAGCAGGCGGGCTAGACACTCGGGACGGGCCAGCACTCTGGGCCTGCCTGACAGGGCCACGTGCACATCCCTACACCTGGCCCCGCCCAGCAGGAGGGGAGGGGGCGCCAGCATCGTGGAAGGACTCAAAGCTGCCTACGCACCTGCACTGGCTGTACTGTGGCACCACTCTCCTCCCCTTGCTTGATTCCTGCTGCAGCCGCTCCACCAGGGCGGTGGCCTCCTCAGGACTGCCTGGCCACTGCTCCTGCGCGTAGGCCTGGATCTCCGGGAGCAGTGTGCCCAATAACTGCTCCAGCACCAAGAGCTCCAGCATCTGCTCCTTGGAGCAGGCCTTGGGCATCAGCCACTGGCAACACAGCTCACGCAGCTGAGCCAGGGCCCCTTGGGGCCCTGCTGCCTCCTCGTAGGGGAACCCCCAGAAGCACTGGCCAGGGCTCTTCGAGCTGGGCTCACCCACCATCAGTTCCAGTGGACTCTGGAGGACCTAGGGGGCCAGGGCTCATGCCCCACTCGTCTGGGCAGCCATCCTGCCCCTTCCCCGGGAGGGGAAGGCAGCTGCATGACCCAGGGTACTTTCTCTGGAGCTGGAAACAAAGGTGAGCCTGTGAGCACAGCAAGGCCACGAAGGTCCCCTCCTTGGGACCACCTGAGACTGAGTAAAAATGGAAGAATGGGGGTATCCGCGCTTCTGGCCCCCAGCGTCAGCATCTTTGCCCACCTGTGTGTCCAGGTGCCTGAGGGACACAATGAGGTGCCATGGCTGCTTGTACCATCCATTCCCCTCTCCCTGCTTTTCTTGAGGGTCCCTGCCCTGTCTCCTTGGCTCCCTTCATCCCCCACACAGAACACCTAAGGCAGAGATTGTGAACAGGACACCCGGAGTCAGACCAGCAGATGGGTCCTGTTTGTCCCCTCCAGGAAGTGTTTTAAAAATGTAAGTTAGGCCAAGCATGGTGGCTCACGGCTGTAGTCCCAGCACTCTGGGAGGCCGATGCAGGCGGATCACGAGGTCAGGAGTTCCCCAAGACCAGCGTGGCCAACATGGTGAAACCCCCTCTCTACCAAAAATACAAAAATTAGCCAGGCATGGTGGCAGGTACCTGTAATCCCAGCTGCTCGGGAGGCTGAGGCAGAGAACTGCTTGAACCTGGGAGGTGGAGGTTGCAGTGAGCCGAGATCGTGCCACTACACTCCAGCCTGGGTGACAAAGCGAGACTCTGTCCCAATAAAATAAAATAAAAAGAGAATAAAGTAGATACACACTACAAGGTGAATGAATATTGAAACTATTATGCTAAGTATAAATGAAAAAATTCAGACACAAAATACTTCATATTTTGTGATTCCATTTATATGAAATGTCCAGAACAGATAAGTCTATAAGAGACAGAAAGTAGATTAGTGTTTGCCAGGATCTAAAGGGAAGACAGAAATGGGAGATACAGCTGTGGGAGTGATGAAAATATTCTGGAATTAGTGGTGATGACTGTGCAATACTGAATATACTAAAAACCACTGAAGCATATACTTTAAAGGATGAATTTTATGGTATTTATGTTTTTTAAAAAGTTAACCAATCTCAAAAGCTTAAAAACTGTATAACTCCATTTATGCAATTCTTTTCTTTTTTTTTTTTGAGACAGGGTCTGGCTCTGTCACCCAGGCTGGAGTGCGGTGGTATGATTTCATCTCCCAGGCTCAAGCCATCTTCCCACCTCAGCCTCCCAAGGAGCTGGGACATCAAGTGCGTGCCACCATACCTGGCTAATTTTTTATTTTTTTATTTTTGAGATGGAGTTTCACTCTTTTGCCCAGACTGTAGTGAAGTGGCACAATCTCGGCTCACTGCAGCCTCTGCCCCAGGATTCCAGCGATTTTCCTGCCTCAGCCTCCTCAGTAGCTGGGATTACAGGCACCTGCCACCAGGCCTGGCTAATTTTATTTTATTTTATTTTATTTTTTAGTAGAGACGGGGTTTCACCATGTTGGCCAGGCTGGTCCCGAACTTTTTTTTTTTTTTTTTTTTTTGAGAGGGAGTCTTGCTCTGTCGCCCAGGCTGGAGGGCAGTGGCACCATCTTGGCTCACTGCAAGCTCTGCCTCCCGGGTTCACACCATTCTCCTGCCTCAGCCTCCCAAGTAGCTGGGACTACATGCGCCTGCCACCACGCCCTGCTAATTTTTTGTATTTTTAGTAGAGACGGGGTTTCACCATGTTAGCCAGGATGGTCCCGATCTCCTGACCTCGTGATCCGCCCTCCTCGGCCTCCCAAAGTGCTGGGATTACAGGCGTGAGCCACCGCGCCCGGCCTGTCAGCCGGTCCCGAACTCTTGACCTCAGGTGATCCACCCACCTTGGCCTCCCAAAGTGCTAGTATTACAGGCGCCAGACACCTCGCCCAGTCTATGCAACATTCGTGAAATGACAAAATGGTAGACATGAGAACAGATTACTAGTTGACAAAAAGAGGTTAACAGGGGGCAGAGGTAGGAGGGAAGGGTATGCGGCTCTGAAAGGGCAACACGGGGATCCTGTGGAAATATTCTGCATCTCGGTTGTGATATCGTACTCTAGTTTTTCTCTTTTCTTTTTTTGAGACAGTCGCTCACTCTGTTGCCCAGGCTGGAGTGCAGTGGCGCGATCTGGGCTCACTGCGACCTCCGCCAACTGGGTACAAGCGATTCTCCTGCCTGAGCCTCCTGAGTAGCTGGGATTACAGGCACCAGCCTCCACTCCCATCTAATTTTTGTGTTTTCAGTAGAGATAGGGTTTCACCACGTTGTTCAGGCTGGTCTTTAACTCCTGAGCTCAAGGGATCCACCCGCCTTGACCTCCCAAAGTGCTGGGATTACAGGCATGAGCCACCGAACCTGACCTCTAGTTTTTCAAGATGCCACCTTTAGGGGAATTGGGTAAAGGGTACATAGGGTATGCATTATGTGTTACTGCATGTGAATTTATAATTACCTCAAATCAAAGGTTAAATTTTAAAATAAAATGACATCCGATTTCAATAAAAATCTATATTTGTGTATTGAAGACCCAGAAATCCGGGCCCCCAAGGGCCCATGTTTCTTAAGGTGGAGCCAGGCACCGCTGCCCCTTCATCCAGGGCCTGTGCTGTGCGACCCGACTCGTCGGCCCCCAGCCCCCAGCCCCATCTAATAGGGCTGCCGTCCTGAGTCCGTCCTCGTCGTGGGATACCATGTGAGCCCCGGAAGGTCCTTCCTGTCGGCCTCGCTGCTCCAGCCTCCCCGACGTACTCACATCCACGCCGCGTGCCCTTTCTGAACCTGAACGCCTCCTCCTCACCACGACATGATCAGAGCCACATCCCGCGTCAGTCCCAGCGCCCACGCCCCCAACAACGGGCATTCGTCTGACCGGTCACGGGTATTTGTCTCCCCACCAACCCCCAAGGCCTAGAGTGGACAAATAGGGGTGGATAAACGGGAAGAGGCTGCGGCCGGGTGGCGCGAGGCCTGTGCGGGCAGCTCCGCAGGCTCGGAGGCGAGGCCTAGCCTGGTGAGCTCCGGACTACGAGGCGCGGGTGGGGGTTGATGAACGAATAAATGAATGTGGGAAGAAATGATGGCGCGGCAGGACATGAAGGCGGAGCCACAAGGCTGGAGGAGTGATGAGTGAATGAGTCAAAGAATAAACGAGCAGGAGGAACGATGCTACAGAACTGAATGCTATAAGGCTCGCGTTCACCGAGCAAGCGGCAGACAGGAGCCGTTTCCGCCCCGACCACGGTCGCCTCTGGCCCGTGCAGAGCCACTTCCGGGCCGCTCTGGAGGGCGCGGAGGCCTATCTCTGTGGTCCCAGAGGGCGCTGCTCAGGGCC